TGCTTCGAGAAAAACTAAATTTCTTCCCCTGCGCGATGCGCAAACGTTTCTTCTAGACAGAACTCAGTCATGTTATGGCGGATCAGTGGCGTCTCCATCGCCCTCGTTGACAACGGACAAGCTAGCCATTAAACGTCTTGTGTGTAACATCAACACAATTCCCCGGCAGATGGGGGGGATATTTGTGGCCCCACATTTGCTTGTGTTAGTCAAGTTGAATCTAAGTCGATGTAACACGTGTTCTGATTGGAAAGAAAGAAGGGAGATAATTCGTGTTGCGATCTTTTGCCGCTAGGGGATTTTACGAGAACCGGGAAATATGGCCGTATTAGAACAGAGGTTCGTAGGACGATATGACAAGTAACCTCTGTGGAAAGAGAATGCAGTAGAAGATGAAATACATTTTACCCTTGACTGTCCATTTTATGAAGATTTACGTTACATGTTTATCCCAGAACGTTATCTGTCGGAACCACCACTGATAGCTTTTACCAGTTTATTAACAACTAATAATGAATCCACCCCACGCAATCTAGCTCTCTATGTTAAATATGCATTTATTCGTCGTAACTGGTTACAGTTAACCATGTCTTAATGTATGTAACTCGCTTGTATAAGGGCCGGTGGCCTAAAATACAATAAACGATTGTCTCTCTCTCTCTCTTAAATCGATTTTTGCATTGATTTTTTATTATTATGAAAGTGTTTTATATGATTTATTTACGTAAATATACAAATATTGAATTTATAAATTGGATTCGACCAAAAATGTAAGGTCCAAAATACAACTATGATATAGAATGAAAACATCACCATCAAATAGTCATTCCATGTAGAGGCTTTGAGGGTGGTGAGGTAGCCTAGTGGTTAAAGGGTCCGCTCGTCACGCTGAAGACCCGGGTTCGATTCCCATCATGGGTATAATGTGTGAAGCCCATTTCTGGTGTCACCCGCCTTGATATTGTTGGCATGTTGCTAAATGGGGCGTAAAACCATTCAAAACCACTCATTCCTCTGTGTCTCAGTTCAGCCACCATCAACCATGAGTGTATACTTTGTTTCCCCCTGGAGAGAATGGCAATGTGGGTAAAGGGAAGGTGTGTTGGACATGAGCGGATGGAAGATGCGGGGAAGTTAGAGGGGGCGGGGAAGTTAGAGGGGGGTCAGGTTGTAACTGGAATCATGTGGTGAAGTGTGTTTGTGAACTGAAACAGGTCGTATCCTGTTTCTCTGACAATGTTATTCTGGTACCACAGACAAACGCCGTGCCAAGATGAGATAAGAAACCTAGCTACACAACACCGTGAGTCGGTATTGTTAGCTGCAGGAGTAGTCGTCGTGGTGGTCGGTGTGGTTTACAATAGCTCCAGGTCCTCCGTGAACTACAGGGAACTACAGGGAGGAGGTCATCAATCATGCAGAAACATGGCAACAACTCTGGGGAGTTCCACCATTACGTTTGTTTTGTGTACACCTGAAGAAAATATGAAAAACTGATTTGTGAAAACATATACCAAAATGATGACCTTAGGGGCCACTCAGTATTGATGTACAAAATAGGATACACTTGGTGACAATAGGGGACACTCAATATTGATGTACAAAATAGGGTACACCTGGTGACAATAGGGGCCACTCAATATTGATGTACTAAATAGGGAACACGTGGTGACCATAGGGGCCCCACAGTATTGATGTACAAAATAGGGTACACTTGGTGACAATAGGGGCCACTCAATATTGATGTACAAAATACGGTACACGGGGTGACCATAGGGGCCACTGAATAATGATGTACAAAATAGGGTACATGTGATGACCATAGGGGCCACTCAGTATTGATGTACAAAATACGGTACACGGGGTGACCATAGGGGCCCCACAGTATTGATGTACAAAATAGGGTACATGTGATGACCATAGGGGCCACTCAGTATTGATGTACAAAATAGGGTACACCTGGTGACAATAGGGGCCACTCAATATTGATGTACTAAATAGGGTACACGTGGTGACAATAGGGGCCGCTCAATGTTGATGTACAAAATAGGGTACACGTGGTGACCATAGGGGCCACTCAATATTGATGTACAAAATAGGGTTGATGTACAAAATCAGGATATTGATGTACAAAATAGACACATAGGGTGCCAATCAGGATTGATTGATGTACAAAATAGAGTACACGGGGTGACAATAGGGGCCACTCAGTATTGATGTACAAGATAGAGTTCACGGGGTGACAATAGGGGCCACTCAGTATTAATGTACAAAATAGAGTACACGGGGTGACAATAGGGGCCACTCAGTATTGATGTACAAAATAGGGTACATGTGATGACTACAGGGGCCACACAGTATTGGTGTACAAAATAGAGTACACTTGGTGACAATAGGGTCCACTCAATATTGATGTATAAAATACGGTACATGTGATGACCGCAGGGGCCACTCAGTATTGATGTACAAAATAGGGTACACATGGTGACCATAGGGGCCACTGAATATTGATGTACAAAATAGGGTACATGTGATGACCATAGGAGCCACTCAGTATTGATGTACAAAATAGGGTACACGGGGTGACAATAGGGGCCCCACAGTATTGATGTACAAAATAGGGTACATGTGATGACTACAGGGGCCACTCAGTATGGATGTACAAAATAGGGTACACGGGGTGACAATGGGGGCCCCACAGTATTGATGTACAAAATAGGGTACACGGGGTGACAATAGGGGCCACTCAGGATTGATGTACAAAATAGGGTACATGTGATGACCATAGGGGCCACTCAGTATTGATGTACAAAATAGGGTACATGTGATGACCATAGGGTCACTCAGGATTGATGTACAAAATAGGATACACTTGGTGACCATAGGGGCCACTCAGTATTGATGTACAAAATAGGGTACACGTGATGACCATAGGGGCCACTCAGTATTGATGTACAAAATAGGGTACACGGGGTGACAGTAGGGGCCCCACAGTATTGATGTACAAAATAGGGTACATGTGATGACCATAGGGGCCACTCAGGATTGATGTACAAAATAGGGTACACGTGGTGACCATAGGGGCCCCACAGTATTGATGTACAAAATAGGGTACATGTGATGACCATAGGGTCACTCAGGATTGATGTACAAAATAGGATACACTTGGTGACAAAAGGGCCCACTCAATATTGATGTACAAAATAGGGTACACTTGGTGACCATAGGGGCCACACAGTATTGATGTACAAAATAGTGTACACGTGGTGACAATAGGGGCCACTGAATATTGATGTGAATATCCCGAGCTTACCTCATCACAGTGTATAGTATTACCAATGCCACAAAGGAACTTCAGTGAGGTAGTCGAGTAGTAAAGATGACGGCCAGGATTCGATTGCTCACATGGGTACAGTGTGTGAAGCTCAGTTCCTGTGTCCCTTAAAAGCGCCATAAAATAGAAATACTCCGTCACAAGAGTGAACTATTTAGGCGACGACATTGTGCAGACGATTCCCATCACTGAGACAGTGTCCAACACAGGTCTATACTGTGGCTTCAACGTATTTGCCACATAACTAACATTAGCCGATACACAGGTTTTCTGACTGTTAAGATGAGCCATCGGTGGAAGACGGTCGTTGGCATACGCCAGTTGAGAGTGAACTGGCTTCTTGACCTTGACGATAGTAACATGCTTTCTTGACCGTCCTTGCGTAATCCTTTTAATCAGTTCCACTGAGTGACGAAACACGACCATAAGACAAGGCCATCCCGGTGTCCTCACTATATTCTTCGACGTTTCTTGGTTTGCAGTTGCTTCAGGCAGCTGACATCACTGGTGGATTCATTACGTTTATGTTTTCCGACGGTTAAAATGTTTTCATTCCCACAATGCAATCGTGGAATGCCGCTTGACTACTCAGCTTCATCTGGATGTACTGATCTAAACTTATGTTGGTAGTAGAAATGCGACGTTCATATTGCCCCCATAAGGTTTACGTTAATCACAGATGTAATGAAAATAATTTAGAGAAGATATTTAATCCGAACGTAAACCGTCATCAAACTGTTTATCACTTATTTTTTTTAACTGGTAACGTTCGTCTTAACGGGGTAGGGGGGGTTGGGGAGAGAGAGAGAGAGAGAGACACATCAATAGAACAGCGCGCCAGTTAGCCCTGTGCTAGTATTCTTAATTTGGGTCACCGACACCGTCGTTTGTTTTCTGCCTTAGATTAATCGTAATCATCCTTAAAAAGTATTAAATTTGGCATCTTAGAAAATAAAAACAGGTCGCTCTACTACCTAGTGTCGTCGTGCTTTAACTATAATAGTTCAGGGCGAAAGTGTGCTTTATTACACTATACATGGTGGTTGAGCAAACTGTATTTCTTAAGTATTAGTGGAGTATGCAATTAGTCAAATTAATACGATAATGGAGTTTGACATTAGAGGACTGAACAGGAAGTATGATTTTAGAGCAATGATTGCGAAAATGCAGTATTGTATGTGAGAAATGAAAACGAAGTCGCAGTATGACATTAGAGGAATGGATATGCAATATGACGTTAGAGGAATATATATGCAGTATGACGTTAGAGGAATAAATATGCAGTATGAGAATAGAGGGCTGGATATGCAGTATGACGTTAGAGGAATGAATATGCAGTATGACGTTAGAGGAATGGATATGTAGTATGACGTTAGAGGAATGAATATGCAGTATGACGTTAGAGGAATAAATATGCAGTATGACGATAGAGGGCTGGATATGCAGTATGACGTTAGAGGAATGAATATGCAGTATGACGTTAGAGGAATGAATATGCAGTATGACGTTAGAGGAATAAATATGCAGTATGACGTTAGAGGAACGGATATGTAGTATGGAATCATGGAGGGAATGAATGCGATTATGCAGTAAGATCGTTCAATACTACTTCCAGTCAGCTGGACAGATATACATACATTACATGTTTGCCCTTTCTGTTTTCCAGCCTGGCTTGGAAGTCTTGGTATCGGGATCTCCTTGTTCATCTCGCCTGTGGTGACCATCATTTGTAGAAGGAAGAGTCCGCGTCTGTATGCCGTCATTGGAGGACTCATCTGCGCCCTAGGTTGTCTCTTTCTGGCCTTCTCCACCCAACCAGAACAACTCTTCATCAGTCATTGCGTTGTCATGTCGCTAGGCAGTGGAATCACAATAGCAACGGCCAATATCATGGTGGGGAGATACTTTCGGAAGAGGCGCGAGGTGGCCGAAATGATTCTGGTTGGAGGAACTGGCGTAGGAACTGCTCTGATGTCGGTACTCTTCAGGGAACTCATGAGGTGAATAATCTTTATAATGTCACAATATAGCCTGAATAAATGTCATTTTCCACCCAAAACAGACTCATAATTTCATCCTTTCAGTCCGTTTATAAATTGAGAAATTGTCTATTATTTTCGAAAATGTTAGAACTCATTTGCAGTAATAACCAACATATATATATATATAGCCAAGTTCAGGTCGACCATGTACAGCATGTAAATAATGTGCATGGCAAATGTGCCTGTGAGACGCGAAAAGAATACGTGTGAATTTATTCTGTCAAGACAAACCTAGACTTGCATAAATATGAAACATTGTCTAACGCCTTACTCCTCTGTGTTCTGTCATCACATGGATCATCTTTGGGGTCCAGACTCTCGGTGAATATATATGAGTGTTACTTCATCTTTGACGACAGTAAATTGTCAATGATATATCTATGCCTTTTAGTGTATATTCTTCTCTATGGTTTCAAACAATTCCCATAAAACAATGCAAGTCATAATGATTAAAAGACGGTGTCTGTGAAGTCAACCATGTTCTTCTCCAGCATCGTGAAGTGGATGCATGGTCTGCAGTGTGTCGCGGGGCTGCTGATTCTTACCATCATTGCCGGTGCCATGTACCGCTCTGCCTCGTTATACCATCCGCGGAGGAAGGTTATCCTCCACCTGAAGAGTCAGAAGAAGAATCGTAGGGACAGGGAGGCGGAGAAGCCGCCATACTTAGACTTCAGCGCCCTGAAGATGAGGTCCTTGCAGGCTCTCATGGTCATCTCCTCCATCGTGGGGGTCGGAATACATGTGCCATTTATTGTTCTGGTAGGTGGAATACAAGTGTCATTTATTGTTCTGGATGTGGAAAACACGTGCCATTTATTGTTCTGGAGGTGGAATAAACGTGTCATTTATTGTTCTGGAGGTGGAATACAAGTGCCATTTATTGTTTTGGAGGTGGAATACACGTGTCATGTATTGCTCTGTAGGTGGAATACACGTGCAATATATTGTTCTGGTAGGTGGAATACACGTGCAATTTATTGTTCTGGTAGGTGGACTACACGTGCAATTTATTGTTCTGGTAGGTGGAATACACGTGACATTTATTGTTCTGGTAGGTGGAATAAACGTGTCATTTATTGTTCTGGAGGTGGAATACACGTGCCATGTATTGTTCTGGAGGTGGAATAAACGTGTCATTTATTGTTCTGGAGGTGGAATACACGTGCCATGTATTGTTCTGGAGGTGGAATAAACGTGTCATTTATTGTTCTGGTAGGTGGAATACACGTGCCATTTATTGTTCTGGAGGTGGAATAAACGTGTCATTTATTGTTCTGGAGGTGGAATACACGTGCCATGTATTGTTCTGGAGGTGGAATAAACGTGTCATTTATTGTTCTGGTAGGTGGAATACACGTGTCATTTATTGTTCTGGAGGTGGAATAAACGTGTCATTTATTGTTCTGGAGGTGGAATACACGTGCCATTTATTGTTCTGGAGGTGGAATAAACGTGTCATTTATTGTTCTGGAGGTGGAATACACGTGTCATTTATTGTTCTGGAGGTGGAATACACGTGTCATTTATTGTTCTGGTAGGTGGAATAAACGTGTCATTTATGGTTCTGGAGGTGGAATACACGTGCCATTTATTGTTCTGGAGGTGGAATAAACGTGTCATTTATTGTTCTGGAGGTGGAATACACGTGTCATTTATTGTTCTGGAGGTGGAATAAACGTGTCATTTGTTGTTCTGGAGGTGGAATACACGTGCCATTTATTGTTCTGGTAGGTGGAATACACGTGCCATTTATTGTTCTGGAGGTTGAATACAAGTGCCATTTATTGTTCTGGTAGGTGGAATACACGTGTCATTTATTGTTCTGGTAGGTGGAATACATGTGCCATTTATTGTTCTGGAGGTGGAATACACGTGCCATTTATTGTTCTGGAGGTGGAAAACACGTGTCATTTATTGTTCTGGTTGGTTGAATACACGTGTCATTTATTGTTCTGGTAGGTGGAATACACGTGCCATTTATTGTTCCGGAGGTGGAATACACGTGTCATTTATTGTTCCGGAGGTGGAATACAAGTGCAATTTATTGTTCTGGAGGTGGAGTACAAGTGCAATTTATTGTTCCGGAGGTGGAATACACGTGCCATTTATTCTTCCGGAGGTGGAATACAAGTGCAATTTATTGTTCTGGAGGTGGAATACAAGTGCCATTTATTGTTCTGGTCCCTGGAATACATGTGCCATTTATTGTTCTGGTAGTGGAATGCACGTGCCATTTATTATTCTGGAGGTGGAATACACGTGTCATTTATTCGGAGGTGGAATACAAGTGCAATTTATTGTTCTGGAGGTGGAATACAAGTGCCATTTATTGTTCTGGTCCCTGGAATACATGTGCCATTTATTGTTCTGGTAATGGAATGCACGTGCCATTTATTATTCTGGAGGTGGAATACACGTGTCATTTATTGTTCTGGTAGGTGGAATACACGTGCCATTGATGTTTTGGCTGGTGGGATATGCGTGCAATTTATTATTCTTGGAGGTGAAATACACTTGCAATTTGTGTTCTCTTTCATCGAAGTTTACTTGTCATTCTTGTTGATGGAATACACGTGATATTTATTGTTCTTTTTGTTTGGATACACGAAATGCACGTGCTGGTTGGTGTGTTAGTCAAAATTTATTGTTTAATAATTTGACTGGTTTGTCCACATGCAGGTAATATGAACCTATATCTCACACTGGTCGTCTCCCAACAGAGAAACATGTCCAAATTATATTGGTGACATCACTTTTGACGTTGGGTATTCATTGCATATATTCGCGGCAACAAATATGTCGCATTCGTTTGACCCTATTGTTCACTGTCATTTACCATTACGATGCCCAAAACGTCAAGTGAACTGCTACCTCTTGCGAAGCCACGAGGTTATCCTTGATGCTTGGCCATCAGAACCCATAAGAACATTTGACAACACTATCAGAACATTGTTTTGCCAAGTTAAAATAGTCGTGGCAATAAGAGTGCTTTGTCAAGGAGCTATGGCAGACTTAAATCGGGTAGCCTATTATTCGAAGCTATATTCATGTTGATAACATGATTGTTTTGGTGCTAGAGTATAGGTCTCTACATTGGACTTCCACTGCAGTAAACACTTACACTGTGTCCTTTTACTTACAGCTTCACACAGCGTCCAAACACGGCGTCCCCGACAAACAGCTGCTGCTCCTGAACGTATACCTCGGCATCGGCTACGCTGTGGGTTGTTGTGCTCTAGGCTATATTCTCATCCGGAACAGTATAGAGTGTTCCATCTCTCGGCGTCACCTGTGTCAAACCGCCGCCATCTTTTGTGGTGTCTTCTCGCTGCTTCTTATCATGGCGGAAGACCATAACGCGCATGCGCTTTTCGCATGGGCATACGGCATATGTTGTGGAGCCTATTATTATAGTTTTAAGATGTACGCATATGAACTTGTTAAAGCCAAACTGATGGAACGAGCTTGGAGTTTTCTATCAGCAGTCCAGTGTTTTCCTTTTCTTTTTGGAGCGCCAGTAGCAAGTAAGTGATGGAGTTCGGTTCATCTATTCAGTTAATTATGTTTAATCATCATTGTCATGCCTGATATACACTCATCGCATTTACGACATTGACTCTACACCAACCTTTCTCCAACCTCCCCAAAGTCTTGAGAGATTCCACTCTCACTCTGATGTACACAACCACCCCACTGACCACCCGTACAAACTGACGTCCACCCAAACACTTGTACACCAACCCCCACCCCACCCCCACCCCCACCACACACACACACACTGACCACCCCACTCTGATCTCCACCCAAACACCTGTACACCAACCACCCCACTTACCACCCGTACAAACTGACCTCCACCCAAACTCTTGTACACCAACCACCCCACTGACCACTCTCACTCTGATGTCCACCCAAACACTTGTACACCAACCACCCATCTGACCACCCTCACCCTGATGTCCACCCAAACACTTGTACACCAACCACCCCACTGACCACCCTCACCCTGATGTCCACCCAAACTCTTGTACACCAACCACCCCACTGACCACCCTCACTCTGATGTCCACCCAAACTCTTGTACACCAACCACCCCACTGACCACCCTCACTCTGATCTCCACCCAAACTCTTGTACACCAACCACCCCACTTACCACCCGTACAAACTGACCTCCACCCAAACACTTGTACACCAACCACCCCACTGACCACCCTCACCCTGATGTCCACCCAAACTCTTGTACACCAACCACCCCACTGACCACCCGTACAAACTGACCTCCACCCAAACACCTGTACACCAACCACCCCACTGACCACCCTCACTCTGATCTCCACCCAAACTCTTGTACACCAACCACCCCACTTACCACCCGTACAAACTGACCTCCACCCAAACTCTTGTACACCAACCACCCCACTGACCACCCTCACCCTGATGTCCACCCTAACACCTGTACACCAACCACCCCACTTACCACCCTCACTCTGATGTCCACCCAAACACTTGTACACCAACCACCCCACTGACCACCCTCACACTGATGTCCACCCAAACACTTGTACACCAACCACCCCACTGACCACCCTCACCCTGATGTCCACCCAAACACCTGTACACCAACCACCCATCTGACTTACCACCCTAACTCTGATGTCTACCCAAACACTTGTACACCAACCACCCCACTGACCACCCCACTCTGATGTCCACCCAAACACTTGTACACCAACCACCCCACTGACCACCCCTAACTCTGATGTCTACCCAAACACTTGTACACCAACCACCCCACTGACCACCCCACTCTGATGTCCACCCAAACACTTGTACACCAACCAACCCACTGACCACCCTAACTCTTATGTCCACTCAAACTCTTGTACACCAACCACCCCACTTACCACCCGTACAAACTGACCTCCTAGCAAACTCTTGTACACCAACCACCCCACTGACCACCCTCACTCTGATGTCCACCCAAACACTTGTACACCAACCACCCATCTGACCACCCTCACCCTGATGTCCACCCAAACACTTGTACACCAACCACCCATCTGACCACCCCACTCTGATGTCCACCCAAACACTTTGTACACCAACCACCCCACTGACCACCCTCACTCTGATGTCCACCCAAACACTTGTACACCAACCACCCCACTGACCACCCCACACTCTGATGTCCACCCAAACACTTGTACACCAACCACCCCACTGACCACCCTCACCCTGATGTCCACCCAAACACTTGTACACCAACCACCCATCTGACCACCCTCACCCTGATGTCCACCCAAACACTTGTACACCAACCACCCATCTGACCACCCTCACCCTGATGTCCACCCAAACACCTGTACACCAACCACCCCACTGACCACCCCACTCTGATGTCCACCCAAACACTTGTACACCAACCACCCATCTGACCACCCTCACCCTGATGTCCACCCAAACACTTGTACACCAACCACCCATCTGACCACACCCTCACCCTGATGTCTACCCAAACACTTGTACACCAACCACCCCACTGACCACCCGTACAATCTGATGTCCACCCAAACACTTGTACACCAACCACCCATCTGACCACCCTCACCCTGATGTCCACCCAAACACTTGTACACCAACCACCCATCTGACCACCCTCACCCTGATGTCCACCCAAACACTTGTACACCAACCACCCCACTGACCACCCCACTCTGATGTCTACCCAAACACTTGTACACCAACCACCCCACTGACCACCCCACTCTGATGTCTACCCAAACACTTGTACACCAACCACCCATCTGACCACCCTCACTCTGATGTCTACCTAAACACCTGTACAAAATCTTTATAATATTCGCAACACTCAGCAATATTCCAGTTATATGACGGCGATCTGTAACTTATCGTTTGTGGACCAGACAATCCAGTGATTGACCTCGACTTTGCTTTTCTGATGTTATTCCTGGAAAGATGCCGCCACAGTTTGCAACCAGCATGGGGATGGATCCGTGATTAAACTTATAAACTATTGAAAATGTATGACGGTGACTGCTCCAGCAGCCGTTGAGAGAGAGAGAGAGAGAGAGAGAGAGAGTGTGTGTGTGTGTGTGTGTGTGTGTGTGCGTGCGTGCGTGTGTGTGTGTGTGTGTGTGTGCGTGCGTGCGTGCGTGCGTGCGTGTGTGTGTGTGTGTGTGTGTTGATTAGTATATACGGACAAATCCACCATATGTCTTGCTATGGTGACAGAGAAGAAACACTTGCCGCACTCCAGTCCGACCCGTGAAGAACCGGGTTAGAATTGGTTGTCGTTAGAGGCGACTAAAAGGATAGGGTGGTCAGGCTCGCTGACTTGGTTGACACATGTCATCGCATCCCAATTGCGAAGATCGATGCCCATTCTGTTGATCACTGAATTGTCTGGTCCAGACTCGATTATTTGCAGACCGCCGCCATATAGCTGGAATATTGCTGAGTTAAACAACGAACAACAACAATCAAAGAGCAAAAGTGACCTTGGTTTAGCAGCTGGAACAATGCAAGACAGAACTCACTGAAGAAGAAAAACACGACAGCATCGACCTTTTTATGAAAGTTAAACAGCATTGAACATTGTACATGTTGGTAAGCACGTGACACTGTGTGGAACTCCCAACCATCTCGACTGGACTGGAGAATGGATTTAAAAGTACATTGCTATTTAAGTTGACATACGTAGATAGGTCACGTGGTGTGGCGTGACGAGTCTCATTTCCGATGATGTGCCTGCCTGTTATACAAGATGATGGCAACCTTGTGTAATGAGGGTTACACAACAGTTGTGGCGGCAGTGTTACACGTCTGGCTGTACCACTGGAAGCAGTTTCCTCGGAGACTTTTTGTGTAATTGTTTGTCAGCAACAGATACCAGACAAGTTGAGGAAATCTCACAAGGTCAGGGCTTTTATGTAAGGTGAAGGTCATCCCCGTGCTGGATATCTTCACTGAACATCGTGGATGTGAGTGTGTGCGTGCGTGCGTGTGCGTGCGTGCGTGCGTCTGCGTGCGTCTGCGTGCGTGAGTATGTGTCGGAGAGAGAGCGTGCAAGGTCGAAAAGCGATCGTAGCGCTACGACTTTCGTAAGTCTATGTTAAAGTATGGGAGTTACGATCATCTTAGCGCTACGATTGCTTTGAGGAACTGGGCCCTGGTCGTAATTCTGTTGTGACGCTCGCGGCGGATTTATCTCCCTTGGATTCTAGGTTACAATGTAGATGTTGTAACACACAATCCATGTCATAGACGGATCCCGGAATTTCCAAAGGAGGGGTTGGGGGTGGGCTCCGCCAATGCAAACCATTAACTTCTATGTGGTCTTTAGTCATTTTCAAGGGGGTACGGGTGGGGGGTCCCGAACCCTCTGAACCCCCCTCTGGATACGCCAATGCATGTGCATGCATCATGTAGTAAGATTTCCTCCGGAGACAACTTCATGAGTAATTAACAATAATAACTTCACAGACTGCTTATTTAATCGCCGACACCAAATGGTTACCAACGACGCGACGTCATTTCAGCCCAATCAGGAAACTGTTTCAATTAGTGGGCGTGACCTAATTTCATTTCTCGGTTTATCGAGCCATGTACGCTAGAAACTATTTAGCCAATAGAAATGGAACAGAACCACATGTGATTTAGTTTTATTGCTTGTGTCAATACCTTAATTCAAAACTCCGTGCAAATTTTAATCATTGTATTACATCTAGAAATAATTATTCATGTTTTAAACTGAAATTAATTTCATTTCTAGGTCATGTTTAATGTTTATTTGTACAACAAAACTGTACCAAACAACTGTACCAGCCAATCCTGAGTTTATCTTCTTCTCTCTTCCAGCTTATCTAACAAGTAACTTCCGGTCGGATGCTGCGGGGTACATTTTTTCAGGAGTCAACATGATTCTTGGAGGCGTTCTGTTTTACGCCATGCCTGTGTTCGAGCGTCATCCCTCCAACCAGGTGATAATTCAGAAACAAAACAGCACGTGCTGTGCCAATGTGGCTGAGGCCGCGGCTCTCCTTGACCTTGAGGTATCAGAGGGGGTCATCTCCAAGCCTCTAAACAACGCTCAGTGCACGGTGACACATTCCAAAATGAAACAAAACGGAAAGGAGGGAGGTAAAATTCAAATGCAGTGTTATCTTCAGCACAAAGAACGTGAAAAGCCGAAACAAATTGTGTTGTCCAAAATTGCCGAGGAAAGTAACTCCAGAGGGGGCGACATGGTGCCCAACAGCAGCAAAGTGCCAGAGTATGTTTCAAATAAGAATGAATTCTCTGAATCCACTACCGATGGTCCATCAGACAGTACGTTTTCTAACAACACGGACAGATCGAGCAGCAAAGACAGTAATTCTGTGAAAACGAACGATAGCAAGAAGAGCAAGAAGAACGATGTCAGGGTGGACCTGTTTGATCCACCAAGTCAGGAAAAGGAATCAACTGCGACTGTTTCGTATGATAGTGACCTGTACATAAATCTTTGTGAAGCACAAGTGTGACGTCATTGTGACATCATTTGGTGACGTCATTGTGACATCATTCCATGACGTCACTGAAGCATCTGCACCGTGTTTGTTTCATCACCATCATTCATCATTAGTCCTCGTGTTAGTGAGGGCTCTGCGGGTGTTTCTATTACGAGGGCACATCAGAGTACATGTTCATTTGAACAAGTTGTTGAAGTAAGGTGTTGTGTTTCTATCATTCAATATTGTACCGCCTTTAGAAACTGTATGATTCTGTCATCTGTTTGTGAGATATTTTCTGGCATCCTGTGTTTGAATGTGTGATATTCTATTTCAGTTCAGCACCGTCAGACGCGGTGGCCCACCTTGACCTTGACCTTGGCCGTTTCGTAAGCAGGGTTTATATCCTTTCTGAGACAGCATTGTCTCATGTCAAGGTCATCCAGGTCCTGACCAGCACCAGGTTGGGCAGTCTTCTGTATGTCATCAACTGTGACAATTAACCACCTATCACACAACGTTTGTTGCATTGTTAAACCGAAGGAGGAATACGATAGTTAAATGTTATGATACAACTAAACCGATGAAGCCATTGGAGCCCTGCGTCAAAGATGATAAAAAAGTATTGATAATTTGAATAAAAACTACGGAGCGAGCAAAGTGTGACTATTTAAGACAGTCATAACGATATGACCTTTTTGGAAACAGTATAAGGAAAAAGTCGAAGTTGTTAGACCAGCTGCCCAAGTGTCGAATCCGACCCCCCTCCCAAATAACAACCCCCAACAACACATTTACAAGCACACCCAGCGAACACATTTTGTTGTGTTTTTTCTGTTAAACCTATTGAACATCTTTCTAGTGTATACAGGCTACACACCGTCTACCCCTCCCAACGAAAGGTTCCCATTGAATGCAATTGCCGTGTTTGTATACACGCAGAGATACGAAAAATGATTTAACCTCATCCTATATACATCCGAATGAGATCATTGATAGATTGTGTTACTGGAGAGCGCTAAGGGAATGGTACAACATCACACATACAGATGTAGTCTCCTCCCTTCATCGTGCTGCCATCATCCGTTCTCCGCAACAGCTTGTGTGGATTAACATGTACTCAATCTCATCACTGTGTCGTCAATGATTTTGTCAAAAAAATAAACATTTGGAAGAAACGTTTTAAGAGGGGTTTTGTCGTTTATACAGAAGGTACGACGATGAGATGCCATTGCCACATGGTAAATGTAATCTCAATGGACTTGGGGTTTTCATTGATGTTTGTGGGCAAACAGCGGCTATATTCACAAACAATATTTATCACCCATAAGGGTAGTATGACCATGTGTAATAACTGTCTGATATGTGCGCAGTCGCAATAAGGTGCGTCTCGTGCTGATTGGTCAATTGAGGCGATGATACGTCAGTGATTCAATGTTGAGACAAATACGATACGACGTCTCCAAATGTTCATGACGTCATCTGAACAATAGGCCTTCCACCGTAATGGCGTCTTCCACTTCGCACAAACGAGCTACAGTAAACGATGGTTATAAAGAACACGCGGATAGCTTAGTGCCAGATATAACCAACTATTTAGGGGCACTGACATTTGCTGTAAATGTAGTGGTCTCTTTGAGTTCGTCACAACCGTAGTTAGCTGCATATAACAACTTACAATATAGAGTTACGTCCCTTAGTCGACAGGATTAGGCTATGTGGTCAGTGCAAATCCCATATTCGCTACGACCTTGACCCTCGGTCTTTCAACCCTGGCACAGATTTCCAAGCTGTCAGAATCTATCTCACATCTAACTCGACATCGCTCTGAAGTTTTCACCCACATAAAGCTGCCAGGCAGTCACGTGGGAAATAGTGTCTGCTGCTCGTTGAAAACGGGGCAACATTCCGTGGCCGTTTGACACCGTGTCGAAACGGGGGAGGCTTCGCTTTTGAAGGGCAACATTCGACATACAACAGTATAAACAATAACATCAAGTAGACGCATAGCGACATCAAGAACACAACAATAAACGGAGGCAGGTGGACGTCGAGCTTTTCTCCAGCTGTGTCCACCATGTGGCACCTCCAGTGACACATTCCAGATCACTCAAACATCTATGAAACTGGACATGTTACGTCGTTAGACAGGTATAAAACGTAGAAATATATAACTGTTCATTTGGATTACGAAGATAAAGCATGCAGCAAGGAGAAGAGGTCATCTTGATAGAAGATGTAACAGGTTAAGAGTCTGTGACAGTGAGTTCCTTGGCAAGGCACATTAAAACTGCCATGTACCTAAATGACAGAAAGATGTATTTCTTTAATCAACAGGTGTAAATGTCACCACACGTTCATTATGCCTATAGTCTGTTTGCAGTGAAAACGTACCAATGAATTCCACTTTAAACAAAAAAGTAAATCAAATAAAGTTAAATTAAGATTGCGAATCCTCATAATTTTACCTTGCCAATTAAACATTTAAATTTCAGAATTTTATTCAACTTAGGATAAAATTTGTTTAAAAGACGATCATAGATTCAAATCGCTATTATTGGTTTGTATTACAAGGGAGCAAACGCAGTAATTGGAACAGTGATACAAATGCACGTGCAGTACGTGGTGAGCGTTAACTTAGACCATCCCTACTTGTTCTCGGTGTTTCATTTAATGTGCATAGATCTACCTCTTGTAATACAAACCAATAATAGCGATTTGAAACTATGATCGTTTGTTAAACAACTTTTATCCGAAGTTGAATAAAATTCTGAGATTTAAATGTTCAATGGCCAGGTATTTGATACGGGTGTCCTACTCGTGTAGTGGACCGTTAGTCATCAGTGTTGGGCAGTTGCTTCCAGCCAAGGGAGATTTAATAACGTTCTTTATTTTTCGTCAAACACAATTTTGAATTGTAAATTTTGTAAAAGACCAAACCGATAAAGAAGTAGCGGACACTGTATTGCAATTATAAGTTATCAAACGTTATGTTTATGTTAATGGTGAACTGTATTGATAGGATAACTAAAAAATCAAGCCTGTTGCATAAACGACTTCAGCAGCAGACATAGAAAGTATAGCCGAAGAGCTAAATAGCAAAAATCTCAACGTTCTACCTAACTCACGCTGTGTTTCCTACAAGCAACATCTATCCTCGTCACATAAGATGTATTTCTAAACTGAACAAGTATCGTTATTGAAACCTTCCCAAATTAGCCATACTTATATATAAATGTCATCTTCCTTGTAATATAATCGATTAATACGTCCAGTTGGCCAAAGTACAGTCGTACGCATTTTACATAAACCCTTCACCACAGCGGTGGGCACTCCTGGTCGCCTGCAGCATGCTTGATGTTCACAGGAACCTGGACAATTCGACGATATGTCATTTGGCGGTTGGTGTCACTCACTGACATCGATCCAACTCACGTGTTGCTCGTGCAAGAGGTGAATGACCGTTAGAAATAGGTCAGAAACGAGGGAGGGCTGCGTCAATGCTACATTAAGTCAAATGTCATAAACTCGGTTACACGACCAGATTCTGCTGAAGGGGTTGAATGTGTTTTGAATGGAATTGTAAGTGACTGGCATATGTCATTTGGTAATAATTGAGTTTAAGAACATTTAATCTGAGATACTCTTCAGTTGAAGTTGTTTGCAACATTTACACATAAGTTTACGTAGATTTATTCACTGCTAACAGACCTGTGCCGTGCCCATTTCGCCATTGACGACCTTGGCCTTGATTTACACCGCACTGAAAAGAGCCAGGGATCTGATTGGCTATAAATGGAATATGTCCCATCAGATTTGAAAAATCCCGTTTATGAAATACACATTATGTCGGAAAGCGCACGTTAAATCTCAAAACCATCATAATCATCAGATTGAAAGTCTGTGCGAGTGTATCCACATCTTTCAGTTTAAGCTATTACACAGTTGACACGATTTTATAATCTACGCAGGGATACGTATAAACTAAAATGTGTTCATAATTGGAAATCCTGACCAGGCATACAACTTTCTCTGTTGTATCACGAACACTTTGGGAATCTGAAGTAATATTGGTACCCCAAACGTCCGTCGTAACCTGACCTTAGGTCTAATGCATGTTATACTTGGGAAGTTACACCTTTTTCAATGTACTGATATTTGTAAGTGTAATCCCAAATATGACGTTTTACATGTGACCACTTTCTAAATGTCATTGTGTATTCATGACCTCAGGTCACCATCATGAAGTAGCCAATCACAAACCTGGAATTCGATACTCCACATGTGTGATACCATATGTATATGAAATTGGTTCCCCCACCACAAGTGCGTGAGGAAAACGTTGTCATTGACCCTAACTGTACACAAATTACAGTAATGAAGTAACGCAGCAACTATTCCAGTAGTATCACTAGCCAGGGATACACTAAGCTACAGTTTCCATCAACAGGTGTTTGGAAACAATAAATAGATAGAAGACGCAGAACTACCAGATCGCCTAGAATTGACTGGTTGGGGGGCGGGACGAATGATCAGCCCTTTTGACACATAGTCATGTATGAGTCAGTCCCAAGTTTGATCGTGTTAGAATGAGGGCTGTTATTTAAGGCTTTCATTATGTTAGTAGGTTCCCGAAAATTTGGACAGGTTCCCATTTCGATGACTCATTCTGCGTCTGTAAGCATCAACCGTGCCTGGTTGGACCAAATGGTCAGTAAGCTGAAATGCCTCCGTGGCATCAATTGGTGAATCGCTGCCCACCGTCCACGACGGGGGGCGCTGACCATCAGTTCGTCATCGGGCTATATATAGACAGCTCCCATCAAGAAACAGTTCAATGTTCTCGTGTAATAAGCTGGTCATTCGTCTATATATAGTTGACTCCGGGCAGTGAAAGTTATCTGTAAGCGACTCCCCAGTGACGACAGACCAGTTGGAGTTGCCCCAGGGGCAATCAACACAATTCTTCAAATATGTAACTGTTTTCTGGTTGGTTATTCTTGATAATTTCAAAATATTAAATTCTATCTGTCTTAAGTTACGACTGTACCATATACATGATATTGACCCATGTATCCCTCGAGGCCTATCGATGTTTAAAGTTATATGTTCAAATGGCTATTTAAGTTCTCAGAGTGGATGAATGCAGTTTTATGCCGCGGTCACCATTGTTTCTGCGAAGACATGGGGAGTTATCGGGCTTGTATCTGACGATTGGTGGCAGGCATGAGAAACGATCCACATGATTATTCTTCAACTAAACGTGGGGTGCGCGGCGGCTAATACTTGTGAGGACTATTGACGGTTTAAATTGCAATCCCACCAAGATACCAAGCCACCGTTTTACATTGATACCAAACTCAGACATACTGACTCCAAACTGCATAAAGACACTTAATTAAACACATATAATCATTAAGGAAGCAATAGTATTGATTATGGTGTGTTTGCTACCTGCTGACATAGACATGTTGCAGGTGGACACGTTTCAGACCATTGTTGATGGATACGTTTCAGACCATTGTTGATGGATACGTTTCAGACCATTGTTGATGGATACGTTTCAGACCATTGTTGATGGACACGTTTCAGACCATTGTTGATGGATACGTTTCAGACCATTGTTGATGGACACGTTTCAGACCATTGTTGATGGATGCGTTTCAGACCATTGTTGATGGACACGTTTCAGACCATTGTTGATGGATACGTTTCAGACCATTGTTGATGGACACGTTTCAGACCATTGTTGATGGATGCGTTTCAGACCATTGTTGACGGATACGTTTCAGACCATTGTTGATGGACACGTTTCAGACCATTGTTGATGGATACGTTTCAGACCTTTGTTGCCACAAAACGCAACCTGCCATCTGCTTCTCAGGACTCCAAGGGCAACAACTCCAGCTAAGCGCAGGACAGTTTAGTCCGATCGATGGCTTTAAGAAATAGGTTGCAAACCGCCGCTTGGATTATTGGGTGATAGTCAGTTGCGTCATACCCAGTTAGCGTGGATCATTGCTAGCAGTATCAGTCCTATAACTTATATATTGCTGGGTGTCTTTATCAACAAACGACCACTCCATTGGTTTGGGCAGGGGAGGCCCATACGTCGAAGTAGCCGCAGCTCATTCTGCATCCCTGACGCGCAACCACTGCCGTCGTGGGGTCAAATCTTCAGAT